AGATGGCATTTCCCCATGCTGTCTGAGAATCCAGCAGCTGAAGTTGTTTTCTAATTTGAACAAATATACCACAGTGATTCCTTAGTGCAGTTCTTCCATAACCTGAAAAAGTGTTGCAGTTTTAGAGCAACAGCATTGGAAATTTTCCAGAAATGTGGTTTTGCCTAAAGTCTCCAAGATCTCTTCCCTATTTCCTCTATTGTGTGATTAATGCATTCTTCTACCTCTAAGAATCAGTGTATTAATTTCTGGTGTCTTGAGCACTTACCACTGCTAAAAGGGAATCACACTGCACAATCCTGAAGAACAATGGAGTTGCACAACCTATATTTCAGTATAATCAGACAATGAACTGCTCTGAAATTGTCTTGCAAATTAATCCGTCTCACCATGAAACCTTTCATGATTTTAATTCTCAGCTGTTTCAAGCAGAGCTGGAAAATCATGCTAAAAGGCATAATACATGTTTTGCAGCTAAAGGGCTGAATACATGGTTTGCATTCTGGCTTATAAGCTTTCTTAACCAGGATTTAATAATTCAGATTCATTACTCTTCAAATGATCTGCCTCTGTCTGGCCTCACACCTTTGATAAGTCGTGCTTATGCTTTATAAAATATACAGGTCAGGATGAAAAAGTCATAACTAGCAGGCTTTTCTATGCATTGTACCTCATTTAAGCTTCCTGAAATAGCAGCAGCTTTTGCCCTCTAAGATCATCAAATTCAATTGTATTGAATTCTCTGAAAAATAGGAAATAGATCATTAGAGTACACACCATGCTGAAATCCAGCTGTGATTCTCTAACCTTTTAGACACTGGATCTAATTGTGACTGAAGGAAATGATACCTTTTTTTTTGTGGTCCTCATATAGTGTCTCCAGCATTATTTGCAGGTTCCTAGTCCATGTTTTGTTGAAAAGTTATAGCATATGAAGGGTTGAAAAAGTGCAGGGAAACGTGCAGACCTAAATGGTGCAAGGAGTAGGGGTGTGTGTAATGGAAGTGGAAAAAAGAGGAAATGAGAGTATTGGGATGTTGCCATTGCCAGGGTGAAGCTGGGTTGTCAGGGCAAGGGCTGAAAAGAAAGGGATGAGGTAGAAAAGATGTTCATGTTAATGGAGTTTATTCTGGAAACAGCAAGGGCATGGAGTGGTAGGAAAAGGGTAATAGTTTTATACTGAAAGAGAACAGGTCTGGAATATATATTAGGATTAAATTATTCACTGTGAGGGTGGTGAGGCACTGCCACAGGTTGCCCAGGGAAGCTGTGGCTGCCCCATCCCTGGCAGTGTCCAAGGCCAGGTTGGATGGGGCCCTGAGTAACCTGGGATAGTGAAAGGTGTCCCTGTGCCCCAGGGAGACTGGAATGAGGTGATCTTTAAGATCCCTTCCACCCCAAACCATTCTGTGATTCTCTGTTTCAATGAAAGTGCAGACACGGATTTTGGCATACTTTAATGAAGTCATCAAAAAAAGTGTTCCCAGAGGATGCAGACAGAGCAAGGAACATTAGTGACACATTCCTACAAAGCTGTCAAAAGTGAGTTCAAACTTGCAGTGTTCAGGGACCTCATGATGTCTCCCTGAATTACCCAGTTATCAACAAAGGGAGCCTCAAATATCCTAGCTTTTATTAGACCCTTGTTGAAGACCATATTTCACTTCCTTTAGCTGAGTTCCTGATATTGTGGCCTTAAAGTCCTAATTTTACCCCAAATAGCTTCTTCCAGACAGTGCCTCTAGAGTGCAATGAATGATAGGTAATAGAAAAAAAAGAGCCTGAAAAAAAAAAGAACAGAAAAACCAGAAGAATCTGGTAATCTTATTAACGAATGATGCCTGGAGGCATTCTTCCTCCAGGGCTCTAAATCACAAACCTACCTCCTGATGAGGCCAACACAAATCAGCTTGTGAACTTTTATGAATCTAGACTAAGTTTTCATCTTGATTTTAATTTTGGAATAGAGCTCTGCAAGTCACAGTAAGAAAATATGCTTTTTCAGTGATGCATTTCTCTGTAATTTGCAGGAGTATGTGATAATGTGCTAATGCCTCAGGCACCATGATGCATCAACTCAAGATCTGGTCATATGGAGACGGTGACAAATTGAAACAGGGAGTTCCTAACTCGATATAATGGAAGTATTTTCACCACAGGCATATGGGAACTAGTTGCTAAGAGAGGCTGTTGCATTTCTGTCCTTGGAGTAGTTTCACATCCTTACCTGGACAAAGGCCTGGGCCACAGGTCTAAAATCAATGCTGGCACTGCAGGAGGCTGCACTGGTGACCCCAGTCTCTTTCATTGCAAGAACTGAAGGAAATAATGAAATGGGATCTGGGTTCACAACAAACAAAAGAAAGTGATTCTTCAGACACAGCTCAGGTAAGAGGAGCATTAGGAGCACTTTGCTGCTGCTGGGTGATAGAAGCTGTGTGGGCTCTAGTCTGGACAGGTTCACAGGAAAGATCCATGAGGAGTTAGAGATGGAAAGAGCACCTTGAGCAAGAGCTTTCTGAGCCCCCAGGTTCTGCGGGCAAGCACTGGATGCAGGTGCTGGAACTAAGGAAAAAGCTGGGGAGCTGCCCATGACTGCCGGGCTCCTGAGCTCTGTCCCGGCATCTGCTCCTGTTGGGACATGAGACAGACAGAATATTAGGCTAAACAGACATTTCATTTGACCCAGCACAGATGCTTTTATGAGCCACAATCCAAACCCCAATAATGTTTATTCAATGAAGTTACTATTCATTTGAGGTGGGTAAGCCTGTTTTGTCATGGTGGAGTTAGAAGCTAAATGCAAGGAGTTCTTCCAGGTGATGGAGCACAGAAAACTTGCAGAGCATCATGGCAATGAGTGACTCCAGAACAAGAGCTGGGCTTAATCTCTTCTGCACAGACCTAAACATGCAACAACACTAAGCAACTCCTATTTGATTTACTTTGGAATTGCACTGGGACTGACTTTATTTCAAGTTCTGTGATAACTCACACTCAACTAGAATGACTCTCAATTATTGGGGCTTCTGTGGTGGGTTGACACTGGCTGGACATCAGGTGCCCACCAAAGCTGCTCTGTGATTCCCCCTCCTCAAATGGTCAGGGGAGAGAAAATATAATGACAGGCTTGTGGGAGAGATCCCTCACCAGTTACTGTCATTCTCTGGTCCCAATTCCTCCTTCATGCTAACTTTTCTCCCTTTTAAAATCCCCTATCCAACACATTGGCCAGCATTGAGTCCATCGTGGATGGCATTGCCTCTGTTGGATGTAAGGGAAGCTTCTGGCAGCTTCTGATAGAAGCCACTCCTGCAGCCCCCACTTTGCCATGGAAACCCAGTAAGGTTAAAAAAAAAAAAAGAAAAAAGGCAGCACGGGAGTTGTGGTATTAGAAGTTTTAATCAAAATTCTGACTTGGGATCAAGGGCTACAAGATACTCTCTACTGCTTTATAACTGGATAAACTGTAATTCAGTGGATTGTTAATGACCATTCCTGGCTGTTAGATGACTCTAGTGTAGTGTGTATATATATATATAGTATATACTGTGTATATATACAGTATCTTCTCCAAAAGGGGTCAAAAAAGCTATCAAAGCTATCCTGATGCACCAGACCTGCAATGTTGTCTGAAACTGACGTGAAATAAAGCAAAGTCCTCTCTCTCCTGTCGGATGCTGCTTTTCTTGCCTCCTGCTTTCTTCTGATGATTTATTTTGGTTATTTAGAAGGAAAAGCAAACGTTGTCATTTTCCCTGTACTGCAGCACTCTTACACTCTCCTACTGCATGCTGGCGTTCTCCCTGTCCCCCACAGCCGTGTCCTCGGTTGTTCTCCTCTGTTTTCCTTCACTAACCCCACCCCAGTCAGACCCACCTACCCTTTCCCACCTCTCTTTGCAGCCTGTCTTTCCCGTTTAACACTCTCCTTTCACGCCAAGCCTGCCAATGTCCCATTTCCTGCCTTTAGGATCCCTCTGCCTTCCCCAGTATCAGAACAGCACGAACCCCACAGAGCCGTGCCTAGCTCCGCGGCTGCTGCCCTCATGGAAAGAGGAATTTCTGCACCCTGAGCCCCTTGGCTCTGTCAATCCTGCTGCAACTCGCACTGGGGCCAAGCCAAGGCGCCGGCCAGGACTGCCCACCTGGCAGCCATCCCTGCTCTGCTGGCTGGCGCTAGGATGAGAGTGAGAAACCTACAAGCTCTGCTGCAGGGCACACCGGTCCTTGCTCGTCCCATCCACTCTGTCCCAAAACCACATTCTGAGTGACTGGAGCACTTCAGCCGGAGCATCCCCACACAGCACAGCAGCACCAGGAAGGGTTTTGGGTTTTGGTCTGACGGGGAGCCGGCCCAGCCCCACTGAAGTGCACGGAGCGGGCTCCCTCACGTTACCCTCCTGCCTGCCCTAGGTCATGGATGAGTGCAGGGGATGGCACAGCTCTCTGCCGGTGCCGGGGACAGCTCTGTTTTGTCGGCGGCTGCTGCTGCTGCGTGTGTGCCATGTTTTCACCTCGATGCCCCCGTGCCCTGTGCCCGACGTTCAAAGTCCCCGCGGCCTGTCCGTCCCTCCTCACCTGCGCCGCGGGGAGCGCGTCCCCGGGGCACGGCGGCAGCCAGGTGCGCTCACCCCTGTACATCCCCCGGGGCTCCACGGGACAATCCCGGTCCCTCCGCCGGGCGGACAGCGCCCGCGGGGATGGATGTGCGGCTCCGGGTGCCGGCCGGCGAGGGTGCCCGGGGGGGCCGCCGCGCCGCGCCGGGGCCGGCAGCCCAGGCGGGGCCGGGGGGCGGGCGCGGGGCAGCGGCGGACAAAGGCGGGCGGCAGCACCGCGGGCTCCCGCTCCCGCCGCCGCGGCCTCCCGAGGGGCGGGAGGTGTCGCCCCCCGCCCGCGCCGCGGTGGCGCTGCCGAGCAGGGCCGGGCGCCGGGCGCCGAGCAGCGCCGGCCGCCCGCCCGCCCGCACCCCCGCCCCGGCCGGCGGCGCGCACGGCGAACATGGCGGCGGCGGTGGGGCGGGACACTCTACCTGAGCACTGGTCCTACGGCGTCTGCAGGGACGGGCGCGTCTTCTTCATCGAGTAAGGGGGAGCCGCGGGAGGGGCGCGGGGGCAGCGCGGCCCCGCCGCCGCCGCCGCCCTCCTCGCTAACAGGTGCATGTTTTCCGCTTCTCCCTCGCAGCGACCTGACCCGCCGCACCACTTGGCTGCATCCGCGCACCGGCGAGCCCGTCAACTCCGGCCACATGATCCGCTCAGGTGGGTGCCTGCGGCCGGCGCCCCCTCCTCCGGGGCCGGGAGGCTCCGCGGGCGAAGTTCTCACCCCTCCTTCCCGCTCTCTCTCTCTCTCTCTGTTTCCCCGTCCCCCGTGCCTTGCAGACCTGCCCCGCGGATGGGAGGAGGGGTTCTCGGAGGAGGGCGCCAGCTACTTCATCGAGTGAGTACCGGCTCCCGGCCCCGCGCCGACCGCCCAGGGCCGGGGGGCGCTGCCGGCGCGGCCCCAGCCCCGGCCCCGGCCCGGCTCAGCCCGGCCGCCCCCGCAGCGAGCCCGCACGTCCGCCGCGCTCATCAGTGACCCGCGCCGGGATGCGCCCTGCCAGCGGGAAAGTTGGCTCCGGGCGCGGCGGGATGCGCGATCCCCCCAGCCGCGCTCCGGCGGTGGTCAGCAACAGGTTTCCTTGGAGGCGGCACTTGAGTTTTCCCCGTTTGTTTGGGTTTTTTTGTGTGCGTTTGTTTGCGAGCCGGCTGCTCCCCCCCTCGCCGCTATTCACGGTGAGGTTTGCGGCAGGTGGAGCGTTGCCGGGCTGAGCGCCGGCCGAGGTGGAAGGTGAATGGTGGTTTTGTTATTTTAAATGGCTCGTGTCTGTGGACGCAGCCCCGGGAAGTTTTGCAAGTGAAAGGATTCCAGTGTCTCTTCCCGGAGACGGGGCTGAGCGGATAAAGTTGCCTTGCCAGGGCTGGTGGTGGCTGTCGGGATCTTTCATGTGGCATTTCTTGTTCCGAGAGCAGTTACCGGCAGGGATGTGCTGCTCATTGAGGTGCTTTTATTCTATGAGATGCAAGCGTGTTGCAGTAAAGTATGATAACTGAGAGAGCTTCTTTCAAACATCGCAGATATAAGGTTTTTACAAAGACAAACACCGATGTAAAAGTAGAGATGTAATCAAATTAGTAAAACTCTGGTACATCTTGGATCAAGAGTCACTGGTCATGTGTGATGCCTTTGCGTTTTCCTTTGCAAATCGGCATACCTGACGAATTTAATGGAACCAACAGAAAAGGACTGGAAAATGCTCAGACTATGTCATTGCTCCAGTGCGGAACTCCCAGGTTGTTGAGTACTGCCCCAATAACTGCTGACAGCAGTGTCACAGTTGTCCAGTATTGAAATGCCTGCAGAGTGTACCCCAAAATCTTTGGGTAACTTGAGGTTTTAGTGAATATCAAACTTCCAAACCATACTGGGCTGGGTGAAGGAGCAATTGACTGAAAGTACAACAAATGTCTCGCATGTAGGATGTTTATTAAATAAAATTCCAGACGATCCTAAAATGTCCTTTTTTCAACTAAAGTGGAGGAAAAAAGGCATTCAATCTTCATTTGTCTGAGCCAGAGAATTCCTTACAGTGCTGGGCAGATAGTTTAGCCCTTGACTCTTGAGGAGGCAGTAGCAAAGCATTGGAGAGCAGCTCAATAACACTTAGAGCTCCCACCCTTTATCTATGGCCAGTGTGTTGAAAGGAAGGAATAAAAGTTCTGCTGGTTGCACAGGCCAGAGATGGAACTCTAAAATGTCCAGTCTGTTAAATGTACTGCAGACAGATCCTTTGCATGGGTACATAAACTTCTAAGTGTAGGAATACATCTGTTTGTTTTGCTGTCTTTTCCAGAAACTTACTAGTGCAACTTTGCAACAGCTTAAATTCCTCTTCCCAACTGCTCTGTTTGGAAGACCATCTCTTATCTTGTTTGTTAGGCAGCTGCAAAACTTTTGATTTCTGATCCATTGAATTAGAGTTCTGTGCAGTGCATTTTCATAACTTGTGCTAATAGTGCTCTTTACCTTGGGCTGGAACAGCTGCAGGAAATGAAATGAGGAATGGAGTGTGCTCATTTTACTGAGCAGTTTAATAAGCTCAGTCATCTTTAGCCAAGCAAGGTTTTGTGAGGAGACAAAGCAATGTTTTAACATAAATCTATTCAGTTGAACTGCTTGAGAGCAAAGATCCTCCTGATATGGAATGCAATATTTAACTCTTCAGCAGTGGTACTTCCCCCAGCACTGCTCTAACCTCTCTAATTTCAGCTCAGAGGCTCCCTGAGCCTAGTGGAATTTCTCAGTTTTTTCTTCCATGAGCATACTGAGCTCTTGTTGGGCTCATGTAAGCATCAGTATCCTTAGATGATGATTTCCATACCTCACTGCTCTGTTCATTCCTCCTGTGTTGCTTCCACTTGATGAGCTCTCAGCTTACAGAAAAGGTTACTGGTCCCTAAACGCATGATTTCACATGATGTACTCTTAAATTGCATTTTCTGGCATTCCAGCTCTCAAAAGCCATGAACATTCCTGGATAACTACCCAGTCCTCTCTGTGCTGGTGACAGTTCCAGTCTCGTGTTGTCTACAGAAATTTCACAAACACATTGTTACTCCTTGGATACTAATTTACTGAAGGGTGTCAGGAGGAACATTCCAAGTAACCCCTCTCCCTTGTGGTAATTTCCACAATTAATACAACCTATTGTAGTTTAACCACATGGGCCATTTAATGGATCTTGTAAATCTTATTTCTCTAATGAAATTAAAAGTATTACAAAGTAGTACTGCTGTTTTAAATAACTTCAATCAAACATTTTATTTAAATATATACTGGCTAACTCCATTTACACAACTAATTTCTGGTACAGACATCATGAAAATATTAGATAAAATATTAGATGTGAGTTGTCCTTGATGTAAAAAAACTTATGAAATATTATGTCCATTTATTTCCATGTCCATTTATAGCCATTTATGTCCATTTACTTCCATTTATTGCTTCTTTCAATACTGTGGCCAAACTTGAGACATCATATAGTAAAACAAAGGTTTGAAACCTTAAAGTCATCTCATAAAGTCATCACATTTCACTCATCATAGAGTGAAACAAAGGTTTATAAGGTGGTCAAGCTTCGTATCAAAACCAGGTAAGTTTTTCTCCCCTTTCCACCTAACAGGAGTTTAGAAATTTCCTAAACTCCACTTCTGTTGGGTAGAAGCTTTCCAAATGAACGTGTTGTGGTTTAGAATGTTTGTTGGAATGTTTTGGTTTAGAATGTTCTGTGGTTGGGCAGCTGTCCTGTAGTGGAAGGGGTGCTGTTTTCCCTTTGGTTATTTACATGAGGTGCTTGTCTGAAATCACATTCACTCTTAGCCTTGTTTTGCTCGACTAAGCAAGCCAAGTTCTTTGTGCAGCCCTTGAAGAAGGGCTCTCCATCTGTTTGGTTCTCCTGTGGTTCTTCTCTGCACCTCTTGCAGTATGAAGTCATCTTTGTTGCATGTGAGCGAACAGAGTCCTCTGCTTTTGTGAGGCTCTCAAACAACAAAAGTGCTTTCTTGGCTTCAAAAATTTCTCAGTTTTCTGCACTTTAGGTTGTTTGCCTATTTAGGGAAGACACCCACACTGACAGCACATGTGAATGCTGCCAATTGACTGAAACATGCAGGTCTTTCTTTTTCTTTACTGCTTTAAATTTTAAGAACTGTAATTTATGTTAGGAGGCTACGTTCCAGTTCTTCCCATTTATGCTCATCCATATCTTTGCAAATGATTTTCTCTGTTCCAAATGTTCCTCAGGTTTTCTTGATAGTGGCAAACCCTGTTAGGGCAGTGCTGTCTCTTATACTAAAATCAGTAAATAAAACATTAAATAAGTGATGTATAAACTGATTCTTCCGGATCTCCATGTAGTAGTCTTTGAAAGTATCATGGTTGCCACATGTTTTGAGTGCTGAATACAGCTTGCACTGCACTTTTCCATCTCTGTTTTTGTTTGTTTACTGATGTTTTTCAAATACTTTATGTTTGTGGGACAAGTGCTTTATGGGAGAGTCTCTGCAGAAAGGTTGTTGCTGAGCATATGTGGAGCTGAATGAGCACTGGACAGCACTGGCTCTGGTTTGTTTCTGGTGCTGGGGTTGCTGATGTGAAATGGTAATTGTGGTTGGCAAACTCTTTGTGGGGAAGGAGATGGGACATGCAGGGAGGGCAGTGATGATGGTATTACAGTGCAGGTTTTCTTTTCCATTTGCTTCTCTTTTCCTGGTCATCCAAAAGACTTGGGGAAGTTGGAAAGCTTGGAAAGCGTGGAATGCTTTTTTACTACCTTCTTACAAAGATTGAGGTGGCTGTTGGCGTGAGAGGATCTGTTCTTGCAGTGTTAGATACCTAACTGGCTTGTATTTAAATATGTTAAAACGTGTACTGGTGCTACAGAGGTTCTTTTTGAAAGCTGCAATGATATTGCACATCTGAAAGGTAATCATACATTCAAATTGTAGACTAAAATTAGGAAAAAAAAAAGTAGAAATCATCACTTAAATATCTCAAGTTAACATTTTATTTGTTTCTGAAGTCAGTTTCCAGTTCAACCTGGCCTCTTCTTTGAGTAACAAAGTGGATGTACAAGTAACAAACCCATGAAATTGGCATAGCAATAGTCAGTAACTGTTTGCAACTGTTATTCTTTAATTCTTGTATTTAGCCTGTACTGTGTGTAGGAAATATGCATGGTATGTGTTTCAAGTGTTTGGAAGTAGCAAGAGAGCAAAGCACACTAAACAAAGTCTGCCTTTTTAACTTTGGTTCTGTTGTGCCAGGCATGTACATTCACTGAAAACCATACAGGAGCTCAGATTCACCCACAGTGGGCTACATGTGATACCCACTTGATGATTGTTTAATCACAGAGCCCAAAGGGGAAGAGACCATCTGGATTATTGAGTTCAGTCCTTTTGATTATCTTAGAAGATTGTTTATAATCTCATTAATAAATTTAATCAACAGGTTTCTTCTGCCCTGCAGAAATTCCTGTCTTCTCCACTCCTAGCAGGATGTTGAAAGCAGAATAATTTTTTTATGGCTGTTTAGGTGGGCTAAACCACTGTGTATCGTAGGTGTTCCTTGACCTGCTGTAAACAAATTATTATTTCTTGCTCTGTTCTCCATGATGGTTATTTCTGAAGAAGTAAAAGATACTGGAGCACTTATCTACTGTAAGGAATAGTGATGACCCTCACAATGAGGTCCTCATCTGTGTAGATGATGTCCTTTGTGGTTCTTGACCCTGTGCTTAGATAGAAGGTAATGTATGAGTAAGTGCATGAACCCCACCTGTGAGGTTGGGTTCACCTCACTGTGTCACTGCTGTGCGTGGCCAGTTTGAGCTGGGGAGA